CATTCATTTTGAACTAATCTTTAATATGACTCGGGAACGACGAGTTGTCTCAGTGCGGGATTCATTCATTTTGTGTTGATCGCGCATGCACAATGAAATTAGTTCACCTCTCGAGTCTTCGGGTCCGAGTCCTCCGTTCTTTTGTCATGTGACGTGAGAGCAGCAATGGATACAGATCATTGTTGGATAACGCTTTAAACTTTATCCATATATGGGGAAAATCATTTTGATAATACCTAAATATAACACAACATTACAAGATACGGATCCGGGAAGTGGCCACGTGACAAAAGAACGAACGACTCAGACCTGAAGACTCGGGAGATGAACTAATCATTTCTGTTTCCTGTAAAGACTGCATAACTTTAGGTTAACCTTATGGGGATGTGACGTGACAAAAGAACGAATGACCCGAGGACTGGGGAGGTGAGGCGAACTAAGCAATGAATTAATAATTTCTGTTTCTTATGATTTGGTCTTGGTTGCATTATAGTTTATATAATGTGATCAATGTTTGTGTAAATACAGTAGATTTGTTGGGGAATTTGGATATTAACATGTAACATTTTAATTATATTCTGCTGAAATGAACGAAATGACTTGGAAAAAGGATTCGTTCATTTTGCTTAACGAGATTCAAAGATCCGAGTCAGTAAAATGATCCGAACTTCGCATCACTGGGCCGCCACACGAAAAATCATCCCCGCCACGGCTGCAGCTCCTCAGTGACATAACAGTAATGCCACTCACATCATTCACAGTCGATGGAACAGGACTTGAATTTCGGCACGGGATTGCGGGTATTATTGCGCTTATAACGCGATGACAGATGACAGAATGTATAATTTGCACGTGCTTTTAAGTCTTGCCAGTTTAAACATTCAAGTGACTTTAAGCCATTCAAGCGCAAAAAGAGTGAAAGAGAACTCAATACAGTACTCGCGCGCTCTCTTATAGACTGTTTTCTGTGCGTCCACACCCAAAGCACGCACACATAAAGCCGCCTCTGAAACAGTGCTTGACTTCAGAATTAGGTTATTAACAATTAGCTTTGCACCTTATTGCGCGTTAACAGCCAAATAGATACAAAATGATGTCAAAATGCCCATCTTGGCGAGCTTTCACGTAAACACAGTCGGTTTAAATAGTCAGTTAGACTATTAAGTGAATGTAAACCGTTGTGAAACAGTCCTGCTACCACAGCTCGAAAAAATCCTAGGAAACACTTTTATTATTATCACTTTTATTTTCAAACATCACTTTTATTCTCACAGTTTTCTCCGTTGCTCATTTGACTTCCTGATCAGGTGTAATGGTTAGTTTCTAGAACCATCTTTGCAATGAAGAATTCAATTCCATTCATCAACATAGCGGCATTTGTACTTGATTCTGGGATTTTAACATTATAAATGAATTATAAGCTATGTTTTACAGTTTTTTCACATTTGCTAATACACTAAATCCCATTCTCTGAAGCAAATTTTCAATAGCCTAAACCAATTTGTCAAATAAATCACTCTTTCTGCAAATCTTAAACAAGTTCAGGCAGTTTAGACACTGTTTGCAGATCTCATGCACTCTTTTCGCAAAACTCCAAACACATTCTCACTCACTAAAATGCAATTTGCATTGTGATGAAGTTGTGATGCAAAACCCTAAACACAAGACAGCAAAAGTTAACCACAACTGCAACACGGTTGTCATCGTTTACACACAATAATTCAAAACTGTTCACACTTGTTTCTAAATATGTGGATGTACAAAATATAAGCCAGTTCAAAGTGCACCATGCACTCTTTTCGCAAAACTCCAAACACATTCTCACTCACTAAAATGCAATTTGCATTGTGATGAAGTTGTGATGCAAAACCCTAAACACAAGACAGCAAAAGTTAACCACAACTGCAACACGGTTGTCATCGTTTACACACAATAATTCAAAACTGTTCACACTTGTTTCTAAATATGTGGATGTACAAAATATAAGCCAGTTCAAAGTGCACAGATGGCATGGGTGCATCCATCAATCTGAGAGGTACAGAAGAGTGTGTATACGAGGTGGAGGAAGAGGAGGACGAGGAAGAGCAAGAACAAGAACAGTAATTTCAGATGAATTCAGAGCTACTGTGATAGACCATGTTCTTGTGTGTGGAATGACAGAGGCAGGACAAAGAGTTCAACCTACAGTGTTTCTGAATTGCTAAAACACTAAACCCCAATCTCTGAACCAAATTCTCACTAGCTTAAACCAATTTGTCGAATAAAGCACTCTTTCTGCTAAACGTTAAACATGCTCAGGCAATTAGGCTCTATTTACAAATCTCATGCACTCTTTTTGCAAAACTATAAACACAATCTCATTCACTCAGACACTTATCACACTGTGATGCATTTGTGCTGCAAAATGCTAAACACAAGCGGCAAAAGTTAAACACAACTAAAGCACAGTTGTCATCGTTTGCACACAACAATTCCAAATTGTTCACACCTGTTTCTAATGATGTGATCAAACCAACTGTACAACATATGAGCCAGTTCAGAGTGCACAAGTGGCACAGGTGACTGAATGATGATACGAACAATAGATGGAAACAATCTGAGAAGGAGAGGAGGAAGAGTACATGTAAGAAGTGGAGGATGAGGACGAGAAGAGAAAGAGTAAGGTTTAGAGAATGTTATCAAGGCTGGATCTGTCAGACCAGAGGGTTTTTTTCTTTTGTCTAGCAAAAAAGACAACATTACTTGTGATGTGGACAAAGTCCTCAGGCCGGACTCAAGCACAGAGACATGATGCTGAGACAGAATGAATCTCTCATTGACCCTGATTTTACAATTGCACAACTTACAGTATTTGAGTGTACTGTAACATGCTTTTCATTTAGAGTTCTTTTTTTGACCTTTGCAGTTGGGCTGCAGTATTTTTGCAGTATCCAAGTGCTGAATATATACAAACATTCAGTACTATTCAATATTCAGCACAATACTCTTCTTGCAGTACATACAGTAGGCCTTACAATATATTCACCTTACTCAGTTGCAATTACTATACTTTTTTACAGAATTGCAAAATTGTTTACTCAATACAATATACTTTTTTCTGTAATGTTCTGGATGCTGTGTTCTCCATTTTTCTCTGTAGTTTGTAATGAATGCTCTGTATTGTTTATTTTATTGACTCGTGTGTGTGTGTGTGTGCAGGGCTTCTGTGAATTTAGTTTGAAGGTTTGGATTTGTGTTTAAGGTTTTGAGAAAATGAGTGATGGTTTCAAGAAATGTGTTTTAGCAATTCAGAAAAAAACGTAATTTGAGCAGATTCTCTGTGGCCACCATAATCAGTTGGAAAATTCAAAAGAACAGCAAAAGAAGAGTGGAAGAGAATCTTGTGTAGAATTGCAAGACTACCATGACAGTGTGGAAGAACTGGCCTGTGGTGACATTCAGTAAACGTGCTGTCTTGTCAAGTCTGGATCCGCCACACCAGAGGTTTTTTTTTCCCCGTTCAGTAGTCCTCTGATTCATATGTATGTATGCATGTGTATATACTGTATATGTATGTACTGTATATGTGTGTGTGTTTTCCTTTTTGAGAGTAATTTGAGAGTATTTTTTTGTATATTATCTAAGATATATTCACCAAACTTAGGTGTGATTTATTTTGCTTGTGTTTGCTTGTGTGTGTGTGTGTGTGTGTGTGTTTTACAGTATTGCAAAATATTTACTATATACAATAAACAGTTTTTTTTTGTGTGCGTGTGTAACTACATGCAATGGACACTGTGTTCTCCATTTTTTGATGTAGTGTCTAATGAATTATCTGTAGTGTGTATATTATTGACTAATGTGTGTGTGTGATTTGAAAGCTTTGTTTGATTTTGAGTACAGGTAAAATGGTTTTGAAGCGATTGTTTGATTTTGCCAGAAGAGTCAGGGCTTCTGTGAATTTAGTTTGAAGGTTTGGATTTGTGTTTAAGGTTTTGAGAAAATGAGTGATGGTTTCAAGAAATGTGTTTTAGCAATTCAGAAAAACTGTAATGCTGCCCTCCAGTCAGATTTGGACATTTCAAGAAATGAGGGGAAAAATGCTCCTGTATTAATTATTTTTATATTTAAAATGAGTGATGGTTTCAAGAAATGTGTTTTAGCAATTCAGAAAAACTGTAATGCTGCCCTCCAGTCAGAGTTGGACATTTCAAGAAATGAGGGGAAAAATGCTCCTGTATTAATTATTTTTATATTTATAACATGATAGTTCAGCAATATGACACGATCATGCTGTTTTTCTGAATATCACCACAATTGCAAATGTGATTTGATAAAACAGTTCAGTAAACAAAGACACATTTTAGACACAACATGGTAAATATGGATGTTTTCAATCTATTTTGCCAAAGAAAATTGTTCTAATCAAAGCAGAGCTGTCGCGCTTCCCCAAGCAACACACAGCAGCATTTTGTGTTGTTTCTGAATGAATCTGTGGTTTTTCAGAAAATTATTATTTCTACATTCAGAGTTCTATATTTAAAGCATTAACCTCATACAATTATTTATGCTTTTGTAATTGTAGTGCAAATGCAATAATAAGTGTCACTTCATGCAGCTTCTGTGCTACAGTGCAGTGCTGGATTTTGTTTAGTTTAGTTTAGTTAGTTAGTGATTTCAATTGATTGATAACAATAGCCAGTTATTCATCCCCATTAACAAAATATTCAGAGGAAAATATGGTCTGTTTTCATTTACATGTAAGCATTTATGAAAAATTTGTTCAATATGTTTGAATCATGAATTAACAGAATACTGCATCGTATCGTGATACATCAGCTGGTGTCATAAGACATTTTAATGGTATCATGATAAATAAATAAATGATATGTCTGACAATGCTAAAAATCAGCCTACAAGTGATTCTTCATAAAGTTGTTCATGGCATTTAGTGTTTTAATCTAAAACTCAATTCATATCCCTGGCCTTATTTATTTATTTATTTATTTTTCCAATTTCAGAATAAAATCATTTTGGACCCGCTAACATTCAGTGAGGCTCGCTTCAGGCCGTCACTGGAGGAACGTCTGGAGAGTATCATCAGTGGTGCTGCCCTCATGGCCGACTCCTCCTGCACACGCGACGATCGCCGTGAACGCATTGTGGCAGAGTGCAACTCCGTGCGCCAGGCCCTGCAAGACCTGCTGAGCGAGTACATGAACAATGTAAGTCCTGAACAACATTTTCTGCCATGTGGGTAGCTGGATGATTGGTTTTCAAGTGATGTTTTTCCGAGCACTATTTTTATTTTTGTTTTAGTTTTTCCGAATGATGATAATGATGAAGATGATGATTATTTATTTATTTAATTTTTTTATTGATTCTAGATTTAGTGACTCACAGCAAGGTTAAGTTGCTGTTTAAATGCTTTTATAAAGGTTTTGTGAAGGGACTAATTGTAGCAAGGCACTTTTATTTTATTCTTGCACATCTAGCTTGAAAAAATATTTACCTCCAACAACCATGGTTACAGTAGTCATACATTTCAGGGAGTTGACACATACCATATAAATACACATAATATTTCTTACAGAGTGGTTATTTATTTATCAGTACTGACATCGAACATAAAAAGCTTTTTGAATAGAAAGCCTCAGCATCATCACATATAGCGCACTTAGTCTGTATGAGGTTATATCAGGTTATGCAAAGTTCTGAAGTTTTTACATGGAAACTTCCAGAATGGAACTTCCAGTATGGCTAAAGCGATATCAAAGCTACACTGTCAGAAATTTCAGTTTGTATGATGATATGTTGACATTTTCTGCAGATGTAGTGTATGTAAAGGCCAACATACACTACATCTGCAGATAAATGTGGTCTTACCGCACTATTTCATCTCTGTGTATGATTTGAAGCGGGCAGAATGCTAGCGCTAACGTGCCGTAACTGACAAAAATAACTGTCATTTTTACCCATTCGGTCAAATATTGTGCTGCAAAGAGCAATACTAGTTTTAACTTGTCTATAACTTGGCAAATGACCATGGAATAAGCGGGATAATCAATGGCTAGCCGTGCATTAAAGGATTTTAAATGCACTTCGCGGAGGCAACCGCCCAACGCGAAGCCTCCACGTCGTGCATTTAGAATCCATTAATGCACGGCTAGACGTTGATTATCCCTTACTTACGTATGTGTGCCTTTCTTTTTGTGCATATGTCAGTTATTTTGAAACACGTGTCTCAAAGTCATTGGCAAGTGTTCTGTAATATTGATCACTATGGTATCAATGGGGGCTGTCAGGCTTTGACGCTATGCAGTAATCAATGGCTTCTACCCAGCTCTAATCTAGTGTATGTCTTTAGTGCTGTTGTGCTCAAGCACCATACAGGAACAGAGGGATATTAAATGCGACCTCTCATTTGATTAGCGATGCCCCTTTAGTAACAACACTACGCCAGTGGAGATGAATATCACATCAGTACTCCAAATACAAGCTCCTGCTCTGGGAGGAAATGTGTTTGCCTGGCTAGGACGCTTGTTTTATATGAATTTTTGTCTCTCAAGATATTCATTTTCTTATGCTTTTTTTAGTGTGTTTATATTTGCATCTTTGTATGGGTTTGTCCATATGAATATTTTCATTAACACAAATACTTTTTCATTGTATAATTGTTACATACACTGACATTAACATGTTTTACACATGTGGATACAATCTGAATATTAATCTTTGCATGCTTGTCCTTTAAGTATTCATAGGCTTTTGTACATAATATTTGCACATTTTGTACATTTGGATATATGGTGAAGCAAATTATAAAAATAACAATTATAAAAAGTATTTACTTACTATATTACATGCACAGCTTTAGAAACCATTGTAATGGTAACTGTGATGAGTGGGGCGGGGGAGGCCGGAGCCTGCTGCCATCCGCCATGATGGGGAGGAGCAGGGAACGGGGGACTCCTGCCGGCTGCCCGAACCCGGAGGAGCCGTTGCCGTCCACCGGGCGGTGGAGGAGTGTCGAGCCGCCCCCCAAGGGACATCCAGCGCCGCCGCCAGGCA